TTAGTATTTGGTCTCCCCTCCACAAAATATGCTACATGTGGCAGAAGATAACTGGTGAAAAATAAAACTCAAAAAAATGTCTTATCCTACAAGAGAACTAAGGGATCTATCATTTAATAGGGAAAGGGATGAGAAAAATAAATGACAAAAAAGTGGAATGTCCATGCACTTGCATACCCTTGCTAAGTTAAAATGGAAAAATGCCCTAAAGAGTGACAAAATATCCTAAATCACCATAAACACAGGCTAGGATGACTGATGATTCCGTTAGGGGCTCAAAATCTTCTTTTATAAATAGCATCCAACAACCACTCTAGGTCAGCACCTCTCACTTGCACTAACTGTGAAACTCTCACCTACCTTTTGCTGAATTTTGATGAAGAGAGTTGCATCCTTTCCACTCTGATATTAACTTTAAGTTGATGCTTAAAGAAAGAGACCAGTTGAGAAGAGAACTTCTCACCTTCATGATACTCCATCTGTTTTGTTGTCCACACCATGATTTGCATAATGCTGAGCGGACACAAGAACATTTAGTGGTCATATCTTTTCAGTGATGGTACCACATTGGCACAGACAGAAATAATTTTTGGGCTTAAAAACTTTCCATCCAAGACGCAAACCATATAGCTTTCAATTAGCTCACACAATGGGTAAACAATACTGCAGTGACAGAAGGTATGTCCAATGGATTCCTCCAAGTCACCACAGTGCATACACTCTGGCAAAATTGCCAACCTTGCTGCATAAAGCTTCTTGCTGATCCAGAATGCTCCTTGCAAATCAGTCAGGTGAATGATGCCATGTTGTTATTGAAATATTTCAACCTGAGGCACACAAGGCAAAACAGAGTGAAACTCCAGATTCATAAGGTCAAGCTTGTCCATGAGATCATTTTTAGCAGCTATCTTCACTATTATTACATAAGGCATTCGGAGACAATGTCAGAGTGTAAGAGAGGAAATCCTTCACCTGTAATAGGTAGTGCATTTCAACATCTTATTATAAAACCCAGGTTTTGTGTGTGTGTGTGTGTGTCTGTACGTTTATATATTGGATCAGATTTCCTACATTTTTCAACCGATTTCAACAAAACTTCACAGGACTATGTAAAATTACCTTGTGGTGGTTCTGACAGTGCCAAAAATTGGAAAAACACAATTGTTTTTGCATGAAATCAATTTGAAAACACAATTAAGAGGCATTAATGAAAGGGAGACAACTCATATCGAGTTATACTTATTAATATCGAGTTATACTTATTATAAAACCCAGGTTGGTTGGTTGTGTGTGTGTGTGTGTGTGTCTGTGTGTGTGTGTGTGTGTGTGTGTGTTCATTTATATATGGGATCGGATTTCCTACATTTTTCAACCGATTTCAACAAAACTTCACTTTTTTTTTGGCAGGTAGTGTTTCTTATTGTCTTGCACATTTTTTTCTTTATTTCTTTATTTTTACATTCAGAATGCTTTAAAAATTCCATTTACAAGACAATTGTTTATAATAAAATTCTATTTAATCGGTAGACTCATAACAATTGAAAACAATGTTTTTGTTTGAGTTTGGGTTTGACCAATTCATAAAAAAAACAATAAAATAAAACTAATTAAGACATGCGTGTCCGTCAACCTTAAACAATAATCTTTGTCAATTTTATTTTTCAGTCTTTATGATGGTCGATACTTGATCTATTTCTTACTGTTACATCCCCGGGCAACGCCGGGCTCTACTGCTAGTTCTTGATAAAAGAAGCATTTGTCTTGGGGCAATCAGTGAGCCTCCACCTAGTCTGTATGCACACTTTCCATGGACAGAAAAGAATAGCAAGTGTCTTTTTTTCAGTATTCGCCATTACTATCCTCTTGTGTACACATTCATTCTAGGAAATTCAAGTGGAGCATATATTGACAAATCTAAACGCTTGACATTCCCAGACCACCTTCAGCAGAATGGAAGCAGCAGACTTTGCAATGCAACAAAGGAGACTTGACTCCCCAGAAGAAATCAAAAAAGTCCCCAACTAAATCCTTTTGTTCAGCAGATGGGAGTGGAAGAATAGAGAGCCAGTAGAGGAGAATCAGGCAGATGTGTGAAGCACATACTTCTGCTCTCCGCTTCAAGGAAAGATACCTTTGAGTCCCCAAACCTGAACTTCCGACTAATTCATCGCCAGCTTCAGGCTGGAACTGAACCAGTTATCAAGTATCTTGAGTGGCCCATCTGTCCAACTGAAGGGCTCAGAAAGAGAAACTCCTTCCCACTCATCCAACTGCAAGTCAACATGTATTGTGATTGAGTCTAGCCCCTGCCACCATCTCATACCTGCAAATTTCTTTGCTGACTTCATCTATTTTGGCAGTGTTCTTTATAAACACAGATACATTCTTTTCTTTATCAACTATGGGATATGGCCTACTCTCCAATGCTTTCCAGTTTATCAATTTCTTTTCTTTAAATAGTGAGTTTATCTTGGTAGCATGAGTGGACATCTATGAACTAAATGTGCTTGGTGAGTAATAATAAGAACTAGTAATGCATAATATAAAAACTACTGTAAACTAGACATTAAGCTATCTGAAAGAGTGATTTGCTTTTTGATTCAACAATAAAAAAGAATTGACTAATACTAAAACTTGTAGCACATGCAACATAAAAACTAAACTAATGAGATAAAACAAAAAAAAATAAATGCCAGAAAACTTTTTTGAAGTTACATGTTCCTGTTATAACCACTTTATCATTTTTGAACATCATCTCAGTCCTTATATCCACTTCTGGGGATGGCAGGTTTCCTTTAAATTGAATTATAATGTCATTTGGACCATCAGTTGCACTAGTATCTTTGAACTAGTATCTCCTTTTTTCAAGATATTACAAATTGTATCAGGTTTTTCAACACACACACACACACACACACACACACACACACACACACACACACACACACACACACACACACACGGTACAGCTTAAGTATACTTATTCTGAAATTCCAAAATCTGAAAACCTCTAAAATCCAAATGTTTTGCAGGTGCTGACAAGACTTGCCATAAATGGAAAATTTCACAAAGCACTGGGAATGTTCTAGGTGATGTGCAGCTGTTGTAAGTGATCTCATCTGCCCTGGGTAGGGGTTCCCCAGCTCAGATACATAGCCTACATTGGCACCAGTTTTTTGTTAGCGGTCATCACAGCAACACCTTTATTTGTGGTTTACTTACCAGGTTATTTGTACTTAAAGATATTATTCAAAATCTCAAAAAATCCTGCATTTATATATTTTTGGTAAGTAGTAATCATATTTTTGGTAAGTAGTAATCATATTTTTGGTACACATACAGAAAGTACAAAACAAAATATGTTATTTGTATAAAACTACTTTCTGAGTATATGTATAAGCTGTGTTATAAAATGTAAAGTGATATTGTGTTTATGCTTGGGTTTCATTCCCAAGCTGTCCCATTTTATAAACGCTATATATATGTTCAGTTCAACATTCCAACCACCTGAAGAAGGCTGGAGCGTACAATGGCCGAAACGTAATAAATATGGCGACAAAGATGAGGACAATAGTCCGAATAATGTAAATAATGTACATAATACCTCATCTCAGAAATATAGACAGATAAATAGCCTGTATTCCAAATTCTGAAAAAATCTGAAAACCAAAGCACTTCTGGTCCCAAGAATTTCAGATAAAAGATTCTTAACCTGTAATTTTTTTGTTTTTTTACAATGAAGTTCACCCTGTACAAGGCCCAAGAACCACTCAAAGTAGAGGGTTACAGTGTAAGAGGCACAGTTTATAGAGATAAGTAGAGAAAGTAATGGCTGATCCTAAACTTTGAACAGGTTAAGATTGTAATAATTGGGAGATGACAATTTGGAAAACTCCTCATCTGAAGAAATAATTTTAAGAAAAGTTATATTAATGAGAAAAATCATGATTCACATTAAGCATATAAACTCATGATATTTACTTTAACTGTATAATTTTAGAAATTAGATTTTTTAACTCATTTCAACTGAGTTTTTATTTTTATTTATATATTCATTTATTTTAAAGTTTACATATTCCACATTGTTTCTGTATTAATTTAGTAGGAACAGGTGATTAAACTGAAATAAAACTGAGTTGAAGTTCTTTTGTTTTTTTTATTATTATTTTTAATCAATTTATTCCAGGTTAGGTGATAATATCAACAAGATGCAAGGGGCTTATGGGAATGAAAGAGAATGGGAAGACTTTAGAAGGAACTGGAAAAACAATCCTAAACAAGAAACACGGGATAAACCTCTACTCCTGTTCAAAGTTAATTATATTCAAATTTTTGTAACAATAAAGTTAAAGTAAAAATCAAATGTTCATATGCTTAATGTGAATCATGCTTTGTCATGCTAATATAGACCCTGTTAAAATAAAGATTTTCCTGGTGAACCTGATCCATCAGCAAAACATGATAAATAGTAGTTTTCCAAATTGCCAAATGTATTACCATATTGTGTGCATGTGTGTGTGTTGACAGGAAGTTACAGCTATCAATAATTGAAAAACTGATACAGTTTGTAACATCTTGGAGAAAGGGGTTGGCAAATGCAGTTGAATTTTTACCTATGGCTACTGATGTCAATTTTATATTATATACATGAGATAGGGGTAGTGAAAATTTTTCCTAACCCATTTTCCAAATTCCAACTAAACATCAGATTTTATTCTTCTTGATTGGGCCAAGAACTTTGCAGCAGCCTTTCATGGATACACACACACATTATGTATGTGTGTGTGTATATATATATATATATATATATATATATATATTAAAAAAAAGAGAAACTGCAAATGTTTTTGGTTATAATGTGATTTTGTTTCAGTATATGTATAATATTTTATTCTTCATATTTCTGCTACACACGTTTCCAGTCTCGTGACCTTCTTCAGGCAAATAAACGGAATAAATTTTCCTTATGTTCATAGCAAAACATAACAGATTATTCTTACCTGAGCTTCTTCCAGATGATCAATCAATTGGGCCTCTGTATCTCGTTTCTTAGAATCTCCCATGTTCATTTCTTGCACTACTCCCAGGAAAGCTACATTGAAATAAACTCTTTGGTGAAGAATCTTCTCAACAGAATCCTTTGTATCTTTTGGTATGCAAAGATTCTCATTACTAGCAGCCACTTGCTAAAATAAAAAAAAAAACAAAGAACAATTCAGATGGCTTAGAAATAAACACTGACAAAAAAATGACAAATGCATGAACTGTTGATAATTTATTGCACAATATGTTTTACAGAAATACAGAGGGGAGTTGGAGTATTTTTTAAGGTATTTTTTAATGCAGAGAATTATTATAATTCTTGGACAAGATGTTTTTTAGGGGTACACATTATAACACAGAAGCTTGAAGCTAAAGTATATATCTGCAAAAGTAACTATTGTCAATTCCAGTTTGACACTAACTCTACCAATTTGAAGGATCTGTCCCAATATCTTACTAGAGATATAAGCTCAGTATTTTTATTTTGTGTGCCAGTTCTGAAGTTTAAGGGTTTTGGTTCATGAAAACAGCTCATTATACAAGAACCTGTAAAAACTGAGAATTGTTCCAAGTTGAGGCATGGGAATTATGGAGGATTAACTATTGTCAAAAAAAAGTTTTAAAGACACCAAATTAATGAAATGATGCATAGCCTCTCCAAATATTAATTCAATAGAAACAAAATATAGTCCATCATTTATAAAGACTTATATTTCAAATGAAAAATAATATTCAATAAAGATATTTGGGAAGTAATAAAAACTATTGTAAGTAATGTTAAAATTGACAAAATCAATGGTTGAAAGACTAATGTAGGGTGTAGAACATTAAAATGTAAATAAAATAATTTATTCACCTATATGGGATATTGTGTTAATTAAATATGTTTCTGTTGTCCATATCTTGGATTTATTCATAAATAAAAAATTATATTGCACTTTGTTTTCATGAAATATAACATCCTTAAAATATGTTATCATTAAAAAGATGCTCTTATTTTTTCAACACTTGAATTATCCTGCTTATCTTGTATGGTTCTATCAAATGTAGGTCTAAATTAATTTTCAAGTTGAACATCATCATGGGTGAGTTACCTATTGGTGTAGGAAGAGTTTTGGTTGTTTAGTATGAAAATACTTGCTTGCATGAATTTTTCTGCTTGACTGATTGCGATAAAGCATATTTAATCATTTCCCACTAGATCTTTAACAGTACAAGAAGAAAACAAAAAGTAAGTTAGTAAAGAGTAGACCATTGATAATCTTGTTTTGGAACATTTTGTTTGGTTAAGTTCTGGGTGCTCTCTTTATGGAAGATATATTCTGAAACCATCTATTTTTAATAAATATCTTAAAAATGTTCATGCATTATATTAAAAAATGAGATGAGGTACAGTACACTTACAGTACTACAAATATTTATTTACTTACAAGTACAAGCATGAAAATTGAAAACAACTTAAAATATTTCAGGTGACACAAAATTAAAAATATATCTATTTTTATGTTTTTCTTAATTTGAATTATTTTTTTATAGTTAATTTTATTTAGAAAATACTTTCGTAAGGATTTAAGTTTCTACTCGAATCTTCCAAATTTAAAAGAAAAAGTTTTGAAAGGGAGATAATTATAAGTTTACTAAATACGAAAGTAATACAATCTTTTAAAAACAACAAACTAAAAATTAAAGCAATATCGATATTGACAACAAAAATTTCAACATTAGATTTGAATAAATAGATTAAGGTATATTTTGACTCAGATATACACAAAAAAATCTTCAAAAGAACACAAAAATGTGCAGAGTTAATAAAAATTACAAGACTCGTAAAAAAGTTTTTACTTTCAGATTTGCCAAGAAAAAGTTACATTGTTTTTTAGTTTAAAAGTAATCGAATTTTTTAGCTTACAACGGTTTCTTTGCTGCCGTTTTGTTGTGGCTGCTTATTTTTTCGTTTAAACATTTTCCGACTGGAAAGAAGGCTAATCATTTAGAATTTTTTAGGAAATCACACAGCTAGCAATCAAGAAATAAGTAAGAAGACGTTTATTTTATTTTATTTTATTTCTTTTTAACACATACTCTCGCACCAAGTCTCATTGCAAGTCAGTCATCACAATTGTTAAAAACTAATAATTTAAAAATATATGTATATTCATGAATTTTAATTGTAAGTATTTGTTTTATTGTATATACATATTTTATTAAATAATAATGAAACTGAATGCATCGATAAAATTAAATGCAATAAAGTAGCAATATAGCCTCTAACCAGGTTTAAAGAAAAAACAATAATGAAAGTGAGGCTTTTACTCGTCGGTGGCTCTCCCCGCCATTATCCCAGAATGCTTTGCACTCGATCCGCCACAAACAAATTTTAGTCTGTCGCCTGTTGAAGTTTTTATCGACCTATTTTTTTTTTTCAAATTCATCTTTACCCGCCGTTCTGAGTATTTCTAGCTAAGATGGGATGTGAAGACGAAGTGTTAAAGATCGGCAAGAAATTGGAAAAAATGATTTCTAGCGGTACATCTGTAAGTAAACGAACGACTTTTTGAAAATAAGTCTTTCTCTCACTCCGTGTTGTAAAAACACGCTAGTCTTTTTTTCAGTTGCTTACCTTATTATTTTTTTAAAAATATCATTTTAGAGCGCAAAATTATCCCCTTGCAGATTGTTTTTTCTGCGATTATTGTAAATTGCACATTAACGTGTAAATTTTGTTATGCATTTTGCTTCAGTTTGGCTAACGCTCCAAACCAAGGGGTTTCGATGTCTTAACGGTTAAGTGTAAAGTAAAAAAGGTACTAAGAATCGAGTTGTAGCGCCATCTCTTAGTATTTTGTCTGTTCACTTATTTCTTTACCCACTTACTGAAAATATTTTCTTTGCAAATCCGTAAGAGAACTGGCTTAAAATGTTGTTTATTTACCCTTACCAATAACAACACTGGTACACACTTTAGGTAACAGCAATAATACACATTTTTAAAGTAACAACAATAAAAGAAAACCTTTCACCGCCATCTCTTATTTTGTCTTTCAGTCCTTTTTATTTCTTAACTGAAGAAATTTAACGACATTTGTCGCTAAAATATTCTTGTGAATTATCTTTGTTTAACAATAAGAAGCATTTTATAATATATAAAACAAAATTCCAAAATAGTAACGACACTTTAAAGTCTTTAAAACAAGTAGTAGTAATAGTAGTTTAAGTAATGTTTTGTTATTTCTTTTTTTTTCCCCTCTTCAAACGCGTATGCTGATTGATGTTATTTTCGGCGGGTACAAGTCGCATTGTTATTTTAATCATGCTAAGTAATATATATCGGAAAATGGTCAAATTCTAGTGATCGTTCGTTTGCTAACCGATTGCAACAAAAACTTTGTTTACCTTTAACGAGCAGTGTTTACGTGGTAGCAAAAATGTCATGGACGTCTCTTTTTTTTCCCCCTCAATGTACTAATTAAACTAAAGTGTTGTCTTGCTTTTTCCGCCTCTACTTTGTCACTTCTATTGTAATCTTTGTAGCGAATAAAGTTTAATCATTTTAAGCATTACGTTTCATCTATCAAAACTCTAAAGTTTACTTGCCACTAGCCAGCTCCATGCGGTTTTTCCCTCAGAGGATCACAAAAATAAATAATTTTCTTTTGTAAATAAACTTTACTTTCGTTTTAATTCATTCACCTCTCATTCTCATTATCTTGTTATTTAATTAGGACGGAATTTCCGTATAGTCTTTCTTTTGCATAAAATTAGCTTAGTGATTCGTAAATTGTAATTAAATTAAAAGAATTTCCTTGTGTTAGGGCACTGAAAAAATAGCTTGTTTTTGTTTTACAAATATATGTCGAAGTCTGGAAGCATTGAAAATGTTTTCATACTGTTCACTGCAATGCATAATTTTTAGGACTTCTTGTGCGTGCAACTAAAAAGCCATATGTGTTACAAAAAATGTATTTTCCTCTTCCATATCGAACACTTCAACTGATACTTTTAAAATTTTATTTATCTATACAAAATCTTTTATGGCTTAACTTAAGTTATGTTCTTAACCGAGGGAAATATAACTATTTGGTTACTGAATTAATACTACTGAGTGCTAGTGATTGATGGTATCCAACCGTAATAATTGTCTGTGGCATATGAGCACGAACTTTGATCTCGTTTGTGTGAGAGAAAAAAAAATGATCTATAATAATGTGTTTTTTTTTTTTTTTTTTTAGCTAGGACTCTAACTAAAAAATACCAAATTTTCGAGTATCTTTCATTTTTATAGGTGGAATTGTTTTTCACGTATCAAATTACACATTTTTCTCATAAATTTAATAATTCAATTTTGTAACCAAAGAGAAAAAGGATCGACCCTACTAGCACCTTAAATGCGATAATTATTTCATCTGTTCATCCAAAGGAGGTAGTTCTGGTTTGATTCTTCCTTTTTACAAATTCTTAATAACAGATTGAATTATTTCTCGCAATATGAGGCTAGCTAAAGCAATCTAAGGGAGGTAATTCAGTATTTGGTATGCGGAATAACTTTTTTGCTTCTAAAATGGAAATCACTCGAATTTTCTTTGTTCAAAATCCACTCTGTATTCTCTAGTCTCTGGTATATTTTAGACTAAACAATAAACATTGAAACAAAAATGAACGTGAAATAATTACGTGCTTTATTACGGAAGTTTTAGTGCTATGATTTTTTTTTTCTACTTTATAAATTGCAAAAAAAAATCTTTGTCTAAGAAGAGAGATGTACATTATTAGGCATATTTTTTGTAAGAGTGAATGCACTTTCCATTTGATTAAATAATCGAATGGAAAGTGCATTCACTCTTTCTATCTTTTTCTTTTCCTACTTAAATGTCAATTGTCAAGCTTTTTTCTTATCGATGTAAAAAAAAAGAACTTTCTGGCGGGGGAAGCTATTATAAACTTGAATTTTCTTAAATCTTCTAGTATCTATTTTTAAAGTGTCAGTAGCTAGACTGTACTTTTAAGGGCTTTTGGAATTGTAATATTGAACATATATCTAAAACTAAAAGTCAATGTGCTACTGGTTAAATGTCAGTATATATTGTGAAAAAATAAATTTTGTTTATTAAAAAAAATAACTGTTTAATTACTTATATCTATATTTTATCAATCTATCTATTTTTGTACTTTGTTCTCCCTGAATATTTTCATTCATTGTAGTCATAATGTATATGATAATTTAGCAGCATTTAAATGTCTTTTTCTCTTGCTTATAAAGTTTACACCAATAACAAAATATCTTAATTGTTCTTATAATTTTTTATATTTTACCTAACCATATAAATTTTGAGTATGAGATTAGATTTTGATTGCATATTGCTTTCCTAGGTTTATATTTCTTGTTCATATACATTTTTGGTTTGTTTGCACATTGATAAAAATTTCACATTTAAATTTTAGTTCCCAAATATTTTCATTGAACTCTTATAAAATTCTTTCTTTGGATTTCGTGATGAATCAACAAATAAGCTAAACGTTTTTGTTTACTATTTCAAAAAGTAAAGCCAATGTTTTCTGAACCATTAGAATTAAATATTTTCTAAGATTAACTTTCATTAACTTGTTATAACTTGCTTTTTGATTAATCTTTCAAATCCCCTTGAAGGATTCTCTTGTTATAATAGTAAAAATCTAAAACTTCATCATGCATTAAAAGCTGCAATTCAACTCTTAATCCAAAGTACATTGAAAAAGTAATTGTCAAAATAAGTAACAATTGGAATACATTAGATCTGAATACACCTGTATCTGATATTTTCATATATTCCTAAACGTCCTGTCTCCTTTAATAATAAAACTTACATTTGACAATGGTTATTCCACATCATAAGATTATACTAATTTTTGCTTAAAAATTAGTCAAATGTGCAAAAACAGAATCTTCATTTGGATTTATTTTTTTCTCTTGATGAATGAGCTTTCTGTGTTGTAATTTGGGGCTCAATACTATTTATTATTTTTTTTCATAAAATGCACACAATTTTGGTTTGTAAGTTTGGCTGTTAAGTTTTTATTTTTGACACCATTATTTTCATCTTCATCATTTGTTTTTTTCTTGCTGCTTTTTATTTTTGAAAAAAAAATTTTATCTACTCTATTTTACTATTCAGTTAAAAAAACAAAAAAAAAACATACATTACCAATTTTTAATTATTAACCAAAACTTTCTCTTCGGCAGAAATACTATTATTATATAGTGATCACTGATTGTGCAGATATTAAGAAATATCCTCTTCTTTTAGGACCATGCTGCATCTGTTGATCTCCTAAAAGCTTTAAAGGATCTACCTATGACTTTGGATGTTCTTCAGGTAAAAGCAAAAACTTTCTTTTACTTCCTTTTCTATTTATTCAACCTCTGACGAGAATTCATAACTCATTACTTCTTAATCATTGGATTTGGGTGTTGTTGTTTTTTGTTTTTTTTTTTGTTTTTTTTTCAGAAAAGTTCATGTACACTTCTTTTTATTTTATTCAACTCATCAGTTTATTACAGTCACTTAAATGGCTACTGTACTGTTTGTATTTGGAATCACATAAGGTAACAGGTGATGTATTAGAAAATCACCAACAACTTTTTGAATTTTGATGCTCATCATTTTCCTAAAAAAATTAGCATCCCTGGTGTTTATGCACAAAAAATTAAATTTTGCTCATCTTTCATAAAACAGACACAAGCACACTAGAAAAGGAAACTAACAACATGTACAAATATTGTCAATGTATTTTATTGAATTTTAGTGTCAGTTTTTACTGTGATAATCTTTCAGGTTGATTTGTATAAATAAATTCACTTAGCATGGAAAATATTTGATTTCTAATCCTTGTTTGTTTTTTTTTGTTTTTTTTTAATTGGTAGCATTATTTACAAGTGTAATTTAGTAATATTTTGAGATTTGAAAAATTTAGCTTATATGATGCTACTCTAGTTAAATGGTTTTTTAGATCAACTTTAGAAAATCATCAAATAATCTTAATATATTTTATGTAAACATTAGAAAAAAAACTTGTTTACTTAAAGTGTCACAATAAATAACTTTATCTGTCTTAGATGACATGATAAAATTTTAGTATATACTATAGATCTTCATAACTAACTGGCTCACCTTTCAAGAGAAGAATTATAACCAGGTTTTATTGAATTTGCTCCCTCACAGATTATGCTGCCCTGTTGAATATTATTTGCAAAAGGAAAGTTTCTTTTTTTTTTTTTTTTTTTTCTTTTTTTTTTTACCTAGATGCCAGTAAGTAAATCAAAGGCTCTGTACTTAGCATTTTCCTTGAAGAATCATTTTTGTTCAGTTGAGTATGAATGCTAAACATACTATATTATCATTCAGTTGCGAATCATATGAATTTGTTTTGCATTCCCTGGCATCTGTTGAAAATGGTGCCTTTTTTTTTTTTTTTTTTTAAATTTGCTTAAAAATTAGTGTAGGAAATTTATTTTATTTATTTATTTTTTTTTTTTTTTTTTTTTTTTTTTTGTGGTTAAAATAAAATAAAAACAGTGATTTGAAAATTCTTGCAAAAATCAAGTTATGGTCAGATTTAAATGAAAATTTCATGATTTTTTTTCACAAATGAATGAACATTATTTTAGAAATATCTTTTACATTTCTTATCCCCATGTCATTTTCACAATTTCATGGAATTCTGAAAAATTAAATTTCATCCCCTTGGTGTTTATATTAGTTGGAAGCAGAATTCCTTGGAGAATTCAAATCATCCATTTCTTTTTGTAAAATGGAAACCTTATTTACCAAAAATATGCTCTGAATCATAAAATAAAAAATGCAATAAAACTTAGATATTATTTAATTAGAAAAAGTATTCAGTTGTCTGTATTTTTACAAGAATTGTTTTAATTTTTTTAAATTAGAATAAATTATAAAGTTTAGAAATCTTAAAATTCTGTATTGATTTCACCCTTTTAGTTGATATAAAGTAAAAACTATAGTTAACCTTTAAACTAGGGTCAAAACATTGTCAAAATGTAAAAATAGGTTTTAATACCAGAAATACTCTTTTGTAAAAAAAAATTATTACCAGCAATATATTTTTGAAAAAAAAATATTACCAGCAATATATTTTTGAAAAAAAAATATTACCAGCAATATATTTTTGCATCCTGGGTAAGACGATAAACTGCGTCCAACAACAAGGCCTCTGATCAGCAGGTTTTGAAGTGTGGAACCACCTCTTAATTGCTGGTGTTCCCAGGCCAACCTTACTTAACTCCTAAACTGGGGTCAAAACACTATGATAATGTAAAAATAGGTTTAATACCAGAAATACTTTGTAAAAAATTATTCTAATGGTCATTGGGTGGGTGGTAATAGTTATGTTTCAAAGTATTCTAGGGGATATTGAATAGAAATGATGGTAGGTCTGAATGCAGTTTTGTGGCTATTTTATAGTGTTTAACTTTTTACTAATTATTTATTATTGATTAATTTATTATATGTTGATAATTAGTGTTATGTTTACTTGTGGGCATTTGTAGTTTAATTTGTTTACTTATTGATTTGGATTATTTTATTTTACTTATTTTCACCAATCCAATTATTGTTAAAATAATACAATAGACTTACATCTAATGTGCCATTGGCCAACATATATAAATAGTTGAGCCGCAATATAATATACATAGCCTGAATATTGAATTTAAGCATGAAATGGACTGTTGCCACTGGTGTTGACCTCAATATACATTTAATCCAGGAAACGGAGCAATCTCAGATCTTCATTCCAGCTTCGTCTGTCACACTTGCAGAAGTGAGTGCCATGCAAAGATTGATGTGATCTACACCAGATGCTGCTCACAAAAGAACTTGATATTTGAACAAACAGGGTGCTACCATTATCTTGCCAGATAAATGGATTCCTATCATTATTACTACGATATTGGCCTGTGTGGATATTTGTAACCCCCAATAGTTTTGAATATTACCAGTTTTTAAAATAGTATTTATGCATTAATGGTTTTATATTTACAAGAAAAATATTTTTTCTTTTTAAGAAAACCAGAATTGGTATGACAGTAAACAATTTCCGTAAGTCCAGCAGTGAAGATGAGGTAATCAGTTTGTCAAAAGCACTAATCAAGAGTTGGAAGAAACTGCTTCCTGGTGAGACCACAAATGCCAGTGAGTTATTTTTTAAAATTTTATTATTTACTTCATAGCTATCAGCATATTCTAATTGTCATGCACATATTTCCATTTGATTAGTATTAGTATCTACTTCATGCAACTTGCCAAGTTCTGTAAAGTATTGACTATATAGGGAAATGTAGATTAAGACTAGTATTTTGGACTAGTAAAAAAGAAGAAAAATAGTAAAAAGATTTCATCACTTGTCTTTAGGCCTCAAAAACATTGCATAAGTATTTTTGTGGAATTTTGGGTTGCTGGGATTGTTTAACTGGAGTCATTTGATTCCCAAGCCTGTCATTGTGTAAGATGAAAGGTGATTTTTCTGGTTTAGATTGGGTGGGGGTATCTTATATGCCTCAAAATATGGTAATTGTTATATATATATATATATATATATATATATATATAATTTTCCTTATATATAATTATAAGTTTTACAGAGATTAATCAAAATTAATGCAATTTGTTTTATTATATAAGAAATAAGGCACACAAACATATTGTGCATCAAGATATAGTTATACATTATAGGTTCACCTCCCAACTTCTCAATATAGTCACCACCCCTTTCAATAGCAGTGTTCCACCTACTGATGAAGACATGTATCCCAGCCTCATAAAACTAAGGTGGCTGCTGGTGTAGTCAATTCCTTACAGCAGTTTTCACTCCTTCATCACTGCTATAATGTTTCCCCCCTCAGTGTCTCTTTTGTTGGACCAAAGAGATGGAGGTCTGAGGATGCTAAGTCAGGTGGTGATGAATAAAGGAAAACTGCTGTAAAGAAATTGCTTCATCAGCATCCAGCTGAGTTTTATGAAACTGATATACATGTCCTCATTTGTAGGTGGAAAACTGACTTTTCTTGAGAATTAGGGAGGAGAACCTCTGATTTATAGCTATATCTTGGTACATGTGTTTGGTTGTGTTCTATATTTCTTGTATAATAAAACAAATTGCATTACTTTTGATTGGCCCGTATAATAATGATTTGATCTTTGGCATATTGCAGTTTAAATTTCAAATTATCAAGTTGGAATTATTTTTTAATGGTATTTAAGGTATAAATTTGACATAAATTCATGAATTATCAAATAAAATGAAAACTTACTTCAGTTTTGGAATAAATTCTTTTAGTATTTAACTTGTTTCAAATTTTAAACCAATGTTTAGATAACAATTTTGCATATCTCTTTAGAATCCTCGTCAAGCAAGAGCAACAGTGTGAGCAAAGTGGATGAATCTTCCCGAGACAGCACTGACAGCAATTCTCATGAAAAAGAAAAGAAGCAGGAATCTGATGTCAAGTCACCAATCCAGAATAAAATCACTGATACAACTGATGCTGTTCGCCTCAAGTGTCGGGAATTATTAGCCAATGCCTTAAAAATAGATAGTAAGTTGTCTAACATTTAAATGTCTTTGCTCCTTTTATTTCAAAGTTGAAAATCTTTTAGCAATATTTGTACAGTAGGACAATTTTCTAATTTGATGAGATTCTGTAGAATCGGAATTGAATTTATTCGTATCAAATTTAAAACTTTCCTTTTTTCTTCTTTTCTACAGAAGACCCAAGTTAGAAACCTTCACTAATTTGCTAAAAAAAGAGCATACTATGATGAAAAAATGCCCTAAACTTAATAAAAAAACCCCCCAAAAAACTAAGTTTTATTACCAAAATCTTTATTAAGAGAAAAGATCAATGTATTTTTTGATTATTTACTTATATTTTTTAATTCTTTTTAACAGGTTCAAAATTGTTATCTTGTTTTTCTTACATCACTTACATAAATTAGCATAGCAAATTTTAACATCTTTTTTGCAGTGAAAGACACATTGATTTGGAAATTTTGCAAAAATCAAATAATTGTCAGATTTTAATGAAACTTTGAGGACTTACTCACAAATGAATTAAATAATTTTATTTTTTTAAATTTTTATTTATTTACATGTGTTACACCCCACTTATCTTATGAAAACTTGAGAAAATTCAATGAGATAATTTTTAATAACTATATTAGTTAAAAGCAAAATCTCTTGAAGAATTTAAATCCTCAATCCCTTTTTTTTTTTTTTTTTTTTTTTAAACAGGGGCCCCATGTTGCCGAAAAACTGCTCTGACTCGTAAAATAAAAAAAAAATGAAATAAATAAAACTAAGACATTATTTAATTAGAAAAGCGTTTAATTGCTTTTATGAATAAGATATATTAAGGATATTATTGTCTTAAGAAAAAAAATTTTTCAATGAATCATTAATTTTTACAAGATTTATTTTTATTTTTTAAAATATTAATTAGAATAATTTATAAGAGTTTTTAAATCTTTTAAAATCCAGTTTCAATGGTGTAAATGTTAGGGAATATTGTTAAATAAAAAACTTCATTTACTATTCATAGATCGAAAAGCTTATTGCAATTTAAGGTCATCCAGTATTTTAAAAAAGAATTTTGATTTTGCTTTGTTGATAAGGCTGGATGTGGCACAAGTTCATTTTAACATGAGGAGTGTCACATGCTTACTTATGCATATAGGCCAAGGACAAAAATTGTTTTTTGCCTAACCCCCATGACCACTGTCACACTGATTGGTATTATATCCCCCCCCCCAAACCTCTTTAGTGCAATGAGGGAGGTGCTGTCTCTGCGTTAGAATCCCTGGGACTTCTCAACATCTCAATTAAGCAGCTACTACCATGTTAAAAAAATACATTTGCCACATATTTTAAACTTAAAATAAGTAATATTTGTTTAATTAAACTTTATATCAGCTAACATTCTTCAAATAAGGTGTCAGAAAAGTATATTTTATTTTTGGAAGATTTTTTTTTAATAAAGAGAATTATATTCTGATGAACACTGGCTAAAAATGGTGGTGAATTTTTTCTTTTTTTTTTTTAAGAAAAAGCAAAATAAAAGAACTCCTTCCAGTCAATTTAATTAGTTTTAAAATAGAGCAAAGTATTGTGTTTATTGGAAATATTGAATCTATTCGCTTGAAATTAAAACTAAAATAAAAGCTTCAAGAGTTTTCATTTTTGAATTAATTTAAAACCTTAGATATCACAAATCTGTAGAGATATCTACCCAAAGCCATTTTCTTTTAATTGGGTGTCTTATGACTCATAGATTCTTGTTTATTTTGTTTGGAAAAGAAGATTCTAATTCGTGTGGGCACACAAAAATATCTTGTTCTCTGAATCATTTTGTGTTGCTGCAGAATATGAGTTTGACCAATGCATTTTATTTTCATCCTGTATTAAAGAAGTACAATTGTATTTTCATAACAGTTAAAAGATCTGAGATTGCTGATAAGTATTTTAAATTAGATATCTTGAAGTACAACTTGAATATGGTTTTTAACAATTTTTTTTCAGATCCACCAGATGGAGCAGGTATTCCTGAAGAATTATGTGCAGAAATTGAAGATGATATCCTTTTGTCTCTATCCTGTTATATATCAAAGCACAAAGTCATCTTAACTAATTGTCTTTATTTTTTTTAGCCTGATGCCCTTAGATTCATTTAAGTTATGAATTTATAATTAATATGTATGTTGTACTTAAGTCTTTTGGTTGCATCTTTTGTTTACTTGAAGAAGTAAAACTGAATTTGTATCCAAGGAAAGACTTTTTGAAAATTTACTGTTTCCTTTCCTCTCCCTTAGGGATCAAATAGCAGCTGGTTTTTTAAGGTACTCTAGTTCAGTCATATTAGTAGAACAGTTTTCACCTTGAAAATAAAATTAACCACTTTGGAATGTCTGTGTATGTGTGTGTATATATATATATATATTTTTTTTTTAAATGCATAATGCTTAAATGAATTTTAGATGATTAGTTGTCAGCTGTCATGTGTTACTTTTTTTAAGACTGGCAAGAATTGAACTTCTAATCCAACATCATATTGATTTTGTGCTGTTTCCTTAACTAACCTTACCAATATACCAGGAATTCAGAAATACAGATTTGAAATACAAAAACCGTGTACGAAGTAGAGTTGCCAACTTGAAAGACCCAAAAAATCCACAACTTCGTGAAAATGTCTTGCGTGGCATTATTGACCCAAGTCGATTAGCCAGTATGACAGCTGAGGTTGGTTGTTTTAACTTCTTTTATTTTGTTTAGAAATCTTTTGTATTTGAATCTTGACTGGTGCTATTTGATATTTTTTTTGGTTTGTGTGATGAAGCTTACACACACACACACACACACACACACACACACAATTACATATGGGAAAATTTTATAACAAAGTGTAAAATGCTTACTTGTGATGCATTTCATTCTTCAGGGCTTCAGTGGACTACTTTTATGTTGGTAGAATTTCACATATGCATGCCAGAGGGGTGTTGGGATTATTTTTTTTTTATTTTTATTTTTATTTTTTTTCAGACTAATTAATTTAGTCTTTTTCTTATCCTTTCCATCACTTTTGTGAACTTAATTAAAAAAAAAAAAAAAAAAGACAGAAAAATGTCTCCAGACTATGTTCTTCTCTGCAGTACTGTCAAACTTGAATGATGTTTCATTTCTAGTGAAACTGCAGATTTTTGTGTCTGTCTTAAAAGACATTGAACTGTTTCTGATAAAATAGAGCGATAAACCATTGCTTCCTTTCTTTGCAGATGATCTTTTTAGCATGATCATGAAATTTAAGATTCATAAAGAAAAAGCACACTAAAAGCATAATTACGTTTTCCAAACTGAATGAATTTGTAAGAATTTTGTCAAACCCAAACATGTATAAAGAAAGCAAAGATTGAATGTGGATTTCTGGCTGATAGGGCTATATGCAAAATTTATCCAAAAAAGGAAATGTCAATCAAAAGATCTATTTGCATGCAGAATTGCAACAATGTTCATCACTATCATTGAGAAACTTTTGGCTAGGTCTCCCCTTAGATATCCTCTTGTAAGGTCACTTGCATGGCTGAACTCTGGATCCATTTGTGAAAAAATATTTTTCCACAGAAGACAGTCTAAAAAGAAAACAAGTCAACAAGTCAGTCAGTATAAAGAGTTCAAAGAGGCTGCTGGAAATATTGCTTTCAAGAATTTCGGCAAATCTGAAGATTGTCTGGGCACTTTCTTTTACTTTTCTTTGTCTAGCAACAAAGAATATCACAGACTGTGGAAAGTTGTTTGCAGATTGCTGGTACTCTCTCATGGACAGGCTTCAGTGGAGAGTGGTTTCTCGGTCAATAAGGAAATTTCCACTGACAATATAAGACTGCAGATTCTGGTTACACAGCACATTATCATGGACTATTTGGCCACAGTTGGAGGTGCTGAGAATCTTCCCATGACTAAGGCTCTTCACTGCAGTGCTTCCAATGCCAAAACCTGATATAACCAATACCTTGTGGCTGAGAAGAAAAGAAACTGGACAGATATGGAAGTCCATGCTTATGAAAATTGAAGAACTGAAGACCAAAATACACAAGCTTTACAGTTGTGCACAAGATTTGCTCAAGTCAGCTGACAGCTATGCAGAGAAAGCTGAGCAGACACCAAACTTCACACTTATCACAAAGTCCAATACCATGTGAAGATCTGCGAAAGACAAATCCATAGATATATCAAAATTGTAAGAAGAGCTGAATGCTAAACTAGATGAACTGTTCTGTGCCATGTGCAACAAAAACCATGAGTAGTAGGGGATAGCCAAAATGTGTAGTCGTTTTGTGAAAATTTCTATTTGTAGTTCTATTCATTAGAACCATTATACTTAGCTTCAAAGGAAATGTGCAGCAGTCAAGAATTTTTGTAACATTCACAAACCATGAGTAGTTTAGATAGTTGAAATGTGAAGCAGTACAAATTAGTGTGTAATTCAGAACTTTCAAGTGTAATAAATCTCCAAACTGTGTAAAATGCTACACAAAATGTGTAACATAACCAGGTCTGCATTCAGTTGTGTTTTAGCCTTCAGCGATTGGATTTCTTCACTGCTTTCAAATAATCCATGTGGCTTGAATTATTGTAACCAGTTGTAACTTTTCTGTGAACATCTCATCTGTCCAACTAAATCACTAAGTTTGTGTTTTTTGAAATTGATGAACATTCAATTTGTGTGCGTGTGCACACACACACACACACACACACACCAGTTTCAGTCTTTGAAAATTCTTAGCATAGCCCTGTAATTGCCCTTAAATTTTTACAGACACACACACACACACATATATATATGCACATTTCATTGAATACAACAGACAAGGTGCTTTTAGTTTATTATATAATTTCTCATGTGATCTAATAATTTTTTCTTTTTGGATGATAAATTATATAAAAGCTGTCCAATTGTTCTTTTTATCTGAGCACTTTCGGCTATACATTTACCCATTTTCAAGGTTGAAATATATCAGTTGTTAACAAGAAATAGTTTGTATGTATTTATTTAATTATTTATTACAAAAAATTTAGAGCCTCTAACCTTACAGTTAAAAATGATAATTCACCTCTTACAACAAAATTAAATAGGAAAAATATTATTTGCAAATTCAAATGTCCATTAAGGTATTCCTGATCAATCAAAATTTATAAATAATTATATAGGCCATACTACATATTTGGCATGGAGACTCACACTACACTTTTCTGACCATAGGTCAGTTAAGTCTTATTTAAATATTCATGGAGACCTACTGGACCCTATTCGTAACATACTTGTTGATAGCACAAATATAATAGCATCATCTACATGCAAAAAAAGGCTAAAAATAATGGAAGCCTTATTAATAAAAAAAAAAAAAAAAAAAACACTCAATAATATCATCTATGAACATGGACACAATATCTTGAACATATACACACACACACACACACATTAACACACTAATATTCCATGGATTCAATTTATTACATTGGAATCAGAATCCAATTCATCAGACTTACAAATTCAAAAAGAAAACAGAAAATATAACTCCGGGTATGGAAACAAAATTTCGGTGAGAGTGTATGTATGGGAGTGAAAACAAGGGTGAGAGGGAAATGTATGAAAGCTCAAGAGAGTTGTAACGGAAGAAAGAACAACAGGAAAGGCCTTAAGGTGAGGGTGGGGAATAAAATTTAAAAGAGAGAAGTTAAATAACGGTTTAAATGAGTGAGATACAGATAAATATGTGTTATCAGATGCATAAATCACTACCGATTTGTTGACCTAAAATTAAAAAAACAGACACCATAAAAGTATGGATACATTTGTGGTGACACACAATAAATGATTATACGATCCAAATTTAAAATCTAGCTAATTTACACTGCTGATGTATATATGAAAATTTGTCATCTGGTTTGCATTTACAAACCTTATGTATACATGAAAAGAGAGGATGAGAGAAAGAGGAAGAAAGGCCTAAGGAAAAAGAAAAGGCCAAACTAAAAATGGCATTTATAAGAGAAATGATGTGTAATCAAGAACAATTTGAAAAAGCATGTAATTTTCCCCTACAGATTACAAATTTTAAGGTAAACATAATATTTAATCTAGTAAAAACCCTACTATTTATTACCACATCCACACATAAACACATGTGCACATACAGACCTACACATGCACATATATAACCATACACACATATATGCATTCATATACATACACACACTCATATATATATATATATATATATATATATATATATATATACACACACACACACACATATATCCATATAAAAAAATAGATGGGTAAAATTAAACTAATCTGTACTTAAAAAACAGATTAGAAATAAGGAAGAAACGGTAATAATAAAAAAATAACGGGATCATGGTAATGATAAAATAATAATACTCATATTAGAAGACTAATAATATCAGTAGTAAAATAAAAATACAGATGATAAAAATGTGAAAAAATTAGAGATTGAAATCAAGATGGCAAAAATATTTTAGTTATGTAGAAAAAATTTCATACATACATATATACCAACACATAAATTAAGACTGCTAAAACAAATTAATAAATATATAGAGCACTACATAAACACAGACAATGATCAAGTAATATCAAGTGTCAATCCATTTAAATGTCCTATCTGATGTTAGGAATACATACACACACACACACACACATGTTCAAGCAAAATTTAAGTTTTTTTTTTTTTTTTTTTTTTTAAGCTGAAAACAAGTGAGAATATTTGAGCCAGAAATCAATTTATTTGAATACATGTTATAACAATCAAGACATTTCACTCAAAGAAGCCTCCTTCAGCATTTACCACCACCTACATCCAACTCTGGAATTTGGCACATGCAAACCTTATGCTGTCCTTAGGGAGAGTCTCAAATGCCTCAATCCTATCAATCAGCTGGGCCTTGGTGTTACAGGCAGTGTGGTTGGTGTCTTTCTCAACTGTGCTCAACACATATTAATCCAAGCAGTTACAACCAGGAGAGTTAGTGGGCCAGACTTCATGGCAGTTAAAGTCGTAAAAATTATCTGCCAACCACTTTTGACTCTTCCTGAAGTTGTGGCATGGAGCTAATGTTGCTGTAACACACAAGATCTCTCAGCAGCCACCTTCCACAACTAAAGCGTGACCACAGTGTTCAGCAACTCCACATAGCCATCCGAATTGAGCCTGAGACCCTCTTCAAAGATGTGAGGTAGCATGACATCACCCACCCTCCCTGGAGACACACCTCAAAACCATCACTATTTGAGGAAACTTTATGAAATAACATCATATGGATTGTAGGCAAGCCATCTGTTGTCCTGGTTATTGTGGGGCTGGTCCTGACAAAAATTCTTTTCATCAGCAAAGAACCACATTGTCCTTGGTTCAGCAGGGTGTTTCACATTATTCAGTGGTACTTTGCCTTTGTCAGACAGTTTTCTTGAGCCTTTTCTGTGTGTGTGTGTGTGTGTGTTTATATGCATTAACGTTTTAGAGCTTTTTGGAGAAAGTGTGGACAGTAGATTATCTGAAGAAATTGATTGCTATTTTACATATAAAATTTTATTTGTGAGAATCACAGGAATTGTAATATGAGATTTGTGCCAAAATGTTTATCAGATTAAATAACTTATTGCAAGACCTGGTGTTATCCCTTACCAATACAAGACAGGATGGTAAAGTTAAATGGTTTTATTAAATGTACATTGGCAATTTTCCAACACATTATGGATGTATGTTGGCAGATTTTCTATTTGTTGTTACCTATAGGAGAAATAGCTCTTCAAATTATTGGAGTTGTGTATTGTCTCAAATGCCAGGAAAGAAAAAGATTAGGATCATTTTTTTTTCTAATTGTTATTTCCAGAACGTCATGTTGTTGTAAAGTTAAAAGAATTTCATTCAAGTCTCCCTGGTATCTGTATAATAATAGTTCTGTCTATTGGCCATAGCAGGACAAATAGAAAAACTGTGGTGTATTACAAATGTGTTTAGCAGAAAAGTTACTTGGCCTTAAATAGACACCGTGTGCGTGTGGTTGAGGATTCACGTTATACAAAATCCATTGAGAGTAATTTTTTATTTCAAATGGCCACTGATCTTTATTTAATATCCAATTTTTTCTCCTGGGATAGTTTTTCAGGTTTGATATACTTAAGATAGTAGTTTAGAATAAGGACACTAAGATTACTCAGGATTTGAAAAGGAAAATGGTTTGTGGGCAACTTTTAAACTTATCTTGGGAAAATGACTTAAACAATTATGATTAGATTATTTATTTACAAGAGTCTTCATTAATCAAATAAAACCAAATCAATTTGAAATTCCTACACCTTATCTTCAAAACCTTGGAATTTGAAAAAAGAATAAGGGTGGGGAGCCTAAGAGTGTCCAGACAAATCAGTGCTTATTACTGTTCAAAGAGTTAAGAATATTAATGCAACAACTGATAATATTACTAAATATGGGATTGCCTGTGTTATGCATTTTGTTGTGTATTGATCTAATTAGTATATTTGTCACCATTTCTTTTCACTAAGTCTCTATTCTACAATATTGCATGGAGGGTAGATTGTGGGAGGTACATTCTCAAATACATTTAAAGCTGAAAAGAAATATTTGGTTTCTTATTTCAGGAAATGGCCAGTGATGATATGAAATCCCTGCGCAACAAATTAACCAAAGAAGCAATCAATGAACACCAAATGGCTCAGACAGGAGGCACTGTTACAGATCTACTCAAATGTGGGAAATGTAGGAAAAGCAACTGTACATACAATCAGGTAAGTTTATTGAGGGATTTTTTTTTTTTTTTACATTTTATCTGGTACTATGATAAAAGCAATTGGTATCAATTACCAGTTGCTGTGTGCATTTTTTTTTTTTTTTAATAACTTAAAGGGAGGCAAACATGTGATTTACAGTCTGCAGTTTGAACATCATGCATTTCTTTAGAAACAATTTAATCATTTACTTTTTTTTTCTATTATAAATTTCTCCTTGCTGCTTAAAGCAGCAAGGAGAAATTTATATTTTATTTTGAAGACAATACAAAATGTTAAGTTTTAGTATGACTTAACAGAGATCACGAATTGGTTATTAAGAATAGTCATTATGAACTTAAAAACTTGCTTTTTTAAAGACTTTGATGCATGTGTTTTGTATAGAGGTTAAAAAAAAAAGCAAATTTTGTGCCAGATTGTTTCTGAGATAATGAGTTCATATAAAGAATGATTTCATAGCTGCTTTGTGACTGGTTATCTTAAATAAACTTGGAATTATGAAGTTTATTGGGAAATACAATTAAATGAACTAAAGATAAATATATAAAACTTTGTAAAAACTGGTTTGACTTTTGTATGTAGTAGCTCTCTTTCCATAATATTAATTTACATATAAAAAATGAATTTATTTCTTTTAAACAAAACTGTTTAGGAATGGGATGATTAAATTAAGCTTCAATGATAACATTCAACAAAACTGTTTTCACAACAATTTTTAATATGTAAATATTGACAGGTTTTCACTTTATTCTTCAAAATATTTTGATGTATGATTTTGAGTTTTTTTTGTTTTTTTTTTTTAATGCCCTTGAGTAGTTAATGAAGCTTATATGGTATATAAGTAGGATATGAAATGTTTTTAACATCTTTGGTTTGAGCTGTTTCATCATAACTAAAATTTATTTTCCATTCTGATGTTTTCTAGATTAGTCTTTGAAGTGTGATAAAGAATATATACATGTTAAGAAAAAAGATTTTAAGCTATATCTTTAATAATACCTGATGCATATATGAGAATACTTCTTGTATCCTCAGACTCACTGCAAATCATTTTTTTCTTTTTGTCCAATCTGTTTGTTTCTCATTTTAGGTACAGACCAGAAGTGCTGATGAACCAATGACCACTTTTGTATTGTGCAATGAATGTGGACATAGGTGGAAGGTAAGGGATTTTCACCTTGACTTTTGTATAATTGTCTATTAACATGAAGTCAACTGATTGTATAAGTATCATAATGCAATGTCATAATTTCTAAAGTCCAATTAGCAGAAACTTGAATTTGATAAGAGGTCTGAGAAGTTTGAAATAGATTTATTTGTATAGACATGCATAAAAACTTCAACAGTGGAAGTTGAATCCACTTTAGTCATATTTATACTTTCTCTCAGCATATTGGCTAACTCTTATGATTCACTTCAACTTCTAAATTGAATGCTTACTGTTAATATAATAGTATGGATGTTTATGAAAGGATGCTGAAAAGTTCTTGTCCTAACAAACCTCCCAATATTTGATTAAACAGTATATTTTTCTTGAAAGGCTTCTTGATCAAGCTGATAACTATTCAGTACCCTCCTCACATTTAAAAGAAAGAAATTCATTTTGTTTTTAATCTTTTATGTTTACTTCTGCATTTTCTGTTTGTTTTAAATGTTTTTCTTTTCTTTTTTCTTTTTTTCTTCCAGTTCTGTTGAATCATCAGAATGTTGCATCATTATATGGCCACTCTGAAGCCTGTTATTACCTTCCAGTGTGAGAAAAAATGTCCATCATAAATCGCCTGACCTTTATTTGGGGAGGGGGGTGCCTATCTTCAATTTTGATCTGCTCATGATGACAGTAAAGAGTGAGGTGGTGTTTAGGGTGGAGTTTTAAGTGGGGTGTGTGGCAATGGGGGATTTTTTTCTCTCTCTCTCTACTATCCTATTTGCCTTTCTCAGGTGATAGATTCTCTTAAAACTTTCTCCTTTTTTTTTTTATATCCCCACTCTATCATCTCAACAGCTTTCTGACCTGTTTTGGCTTTTTCTGCTCTTGGCTGGACCTTTAAGGGCATTCTTTCTATGCATCACCCACCATTTTTTCTCCTCTATTCCTGCCTTAAGAGTGATTGGATATTATTTAAGTCTGTTAAGATTTAGTAAATAAGTTTTAATTATTGATTGCTTACAAGTTTAAAAAATGGCATATTTCTGCCTATATTCCAATTTAGACAACTAGTATTTTGTTCTGTAGTCTCAATTTTAAGGAGACTTGATAATGACATGACCTGGTTGTTTAGATCTCATTTGCATGCATAAATGTGTATGCAAAAATGAAATTAAAACTGTTTTCTGGCACACTTATTTGATTTGGCTAAGAGACTGTTAAAGCAAAATGGTTTAAATTTTAAAATCTTGCATGAAATGTGTAGTTGAATCATTGTATGAATTGTTGCCTCTGTGTGTTTTGCTTCACTTTCAATCCATTTTTATTGTATAAAATATTTGAATAGCTGAGGCTTCTTCCAAAAGCAGAGCTGTCTAGCAGTACACTTTTATAGATTTTTTTTTCTCCTTAGTACAATGTTTAAAAATGTGCAATACAAATCAAATAACTGAAATTTGAAATTGAGTGAAACTTAAAAAATGAATTGATGTTAGTTTAATTTTGATGTATTTATGCATGAACATGCTATGTCCAGCCCTGTCTTCTAAAATTTAAAAATTGTTTTAGTGATAGTGGAGCTGTTACATTTTTTGTTTAATCTGAAACAATCACTAGACTTGATCCATATGTCTTGATAGCATTATTTTCAATTAAGCTTTTTGCCTGCATCTGATTTCTTTTAATATTTGAAAGAGAAAAAGTAAAAATTGATTTATAGATAAATTGCTTAATTTCATCTACAGCCTTTTCTATCTTCACTGTAAAACTGCTTTATCTTTTATTTATTCTAAATAATGTTCAAAAAATTTTGCAGATTTTTTTCCCCCTACATCTCAATGTTTAGTTAATATTGTAATAAGTTAAACTGAGCTCATTGTGTCAACACTCCTGTTATTTCCAAGTCATTTTATTAGCCTAATAATCTCTCCCGTTGTATGTTGAATTACCAACTTGAAAGGATTCTTTGCAGTTTTTTGTAGAAATTCTATTTTATTTTCAATGATTTGATTATTAGATGTTCTGTTAAGAAGTTTTCTGAAGATCTCTCTGCTTTTTGTAAAATTCTATTTAATGCTTTTTTGTTTTTTAATACTACTTGGCATGGTGAGGGGTTATTTCATAGGGTCATACCTTTTGCTTACATTTACTTTGTAAGTTTTCATTATTTCACTAAAATATTTGTTCTTTGACTCTGCATAACAAAAACATTCCAAAATGCTACATCTAATTATTTTAGGATCTCCTCCCTTAGGCTTTTCCTGTTTTTTTTTTTTTTTGTGTGTGTGTATCAATTCTTGTGGGTGTTAATGCAATACACTATAGTCAATAATGAAATCAAAACTAGTATGAATTCAAAATTTAGTGATTGTGGGCATTAGTATCTCATATATTTTTGTTTTCTGTATAGTCAAATAAAAAAGTATGCAAACTATTTTTATTACTTGTGTGATGTTCAAATGCTTATATGAGGTTTTTTTTTTTTTTTTTTTTTTTTACTCAAGTAAAATACAGAGGGCAGATTTCCAACCCCCTCCCCCATACTCCAGAATACAAGTTACATTTGTCCTTTGTATAATTCCTCACCTCTTGCATCAGTCATTGAACCTTCCCTGAGTATTTCTCTACCCTGTATGTTTTTATCTTTATTAGCTTCTCTTTTTAACTTTCTGCTGGGTCATTTATTTCATGCTATTTAACATGATAATTATTCAGTTACATGGATATTCAGATTAATAGTTAATCCCATTTAATCTTAAAAAAATGCAGTTTTGCTCAAGGGCTAGAACGAGGAGTTTATCAGTCAAGAGATTTTAAATTATTTAGATTGATTTCCATGGAAGGAACCCTTTGAAACACCAGCAATATCTTTATATAAATATTCCTCTACTGCAGAGTGAATATCTAATGGAATCATTGATTTATTTTCCTATTTTTATAACATATCTCCTTGTTCTTGTCAATCTGCATTGCTTTATAAATACTGTGATGGGATTATTTTTTAAGTACCTGTAGGAAAATGTCATAGTTAAAGGCATCTGGGTTTGTCTGAGTTTGAAAGGAGAGATGATATTTTTAGAAAATCTTTGGCATTCTTTCTTTCTGTTAATGGTTGTACATGGTGTAAAATTTGTAGTTTTTTTCTATTTGTCTCTGATTGCAGAAAAATTTTATGCTTAGTTGTCAATGTGTTAATGAATAACAGCTTGGTAGCAAACAATTATAGCCCAGGCTTGAGATTTTGTTTGATTATTTGGCACTTTTGTGTTGGGCTTGGTCTGCTAATGACAAGTATCTGAATTGAACCTAATATTTAGGAAGAGAAACAAATCTCTAATACGTGA